TTTTTTTTTTTTTTTTTTTGTCAATAAGGGGAAAATAGTATTTTAGAGTACTTGAAATACCTTGACCTATTTAGAAACTAAATTCTTGAGAGTTTTGAATGTAGCAGTTGTTGTGCCTGTGTGAGATCAATCATAGCAATTTCTGCCTGAAGTAGAAGACCTGCGTTGCAGTTAATATTGCTAGTAATTGGTTGATTATTCATCATAAAAGTCAATGGAAGTTGATAATCCTTTTCTGTAGGTGAAGGTAATGGTGCTGGGTGAAACTGTACAGCTGCTTGCTCTTGTGAATTTTTTTATGCGCAAACATATGCTTTTCTGTGTTGACAGCAAATTGCAAAAGTGGAGTTCCGAAGCCATACTCTGAACAGCCTATACTGTTTATATGTGTGTGTGTGTATATATATAAATTGTTAAAGATATCCCCTTGAGAGAGTTATTTAACTTCCAGTTGTTTCAAAATGTCCTCTTTCTCATTATAAGCCATTTGAATAGGGGAAAATAACAGATCTCTGGCTCTAAAACCACTAGACATATTCCTTGTTTGTGTATGTTACTTGCAACACCACCAGGTGTTCAGTTTTTCCCTTTCCTAATTTCAAATTTTTAAAGCGTTATTCTGCAAGTAGCAAAATACAAAAGCTTTGTTTTGGGTCCTGTGTCTCCCACAGCTGATACAGCTCTTTCTTTTAAGCCACCCTGCACAATAATGCCATATTTTCATCAGCGCTTGTACTTCCCTTGCAACTTTCACCTTACTGATGCAACCCCTACTCTCTCCTGTACCCGCTACAGTCCCATTTTCCCTTTCCCTGCTGGAGTTGTTTCTTGGGCCTCTCGTCTGTCTTGGGTTGATGGCTGGGCAAATGCAGCGTGTGATGCTTGGACAGCAGTCGGACAAGACAAACCAGAATGGAACAGGGCTGAACTTTCCTCTTTGCTTTCCTTTCAGTAGAGAATTAACAGGATTTTTGTCCTTTAACCAGCTGCTAATTGTTTCAAAACACTCAAGCATTTCATATTTCAACTGCAGCTTAACTTTGCCACCTTACTGATGGAGGAGGAAGGTATTTTTGCAAGTGTTACGTTTCAGAGTTTTCGTTTTTCTAACGCAGCCAGTCATACTGTGTGGCACCAAGCGTCATGATTGACAGTAAGGGAGGAAGGTTGAGATCAGCAACCCAGTCTCCTACCTGTTCAGCTGTAAGACTACCCTGCAGGAGTGGCAGAGCGCGCTCAGCAGCAGAAGACTGAGGGTCTCGCAGATATTTGCCGAAAGTTTCCTTCTGTTCCTGTGCTACGTTGGATCTCATTCCAGATTTGGTGAGGACCACGCAGCCGTTGCAGTGGAAGTGCACAGCAGTCACCACAGAGGGAGTCAGTCTGAGATCTTCCTGAGCCCCCGCAGTGAAAAAGCAGGCTCAGCCTCAGCAGCTGCAGGGATGTGCATATACAGGCCGAGCAGCACGAGGCTGGGCTACTCGGTGGGCAATCTGCACTGCTAGTAAGAGTTGCGTAAGCAGGTCAGAAGTGAAAACTGCTGTGCAATTCAAGGAGAGGAGGTCTTTAAAAAACATTTTAATAGCTTTACGAGTATAATGGCTGTAGGCCAATAGCTAAAATTTAATAAGTAAGACATATTAAGAGGTTAGGTTTTGTTTATGCTTGTTATTTGAAATGTTTATGAAAACACGTTAGAAATATTTCTTAAAACCCGGACTGTTTCCATTGTGTAGATCGGATTGAAACAGCTGGTGGTATTACTCTTAGATATGTTTTGCACAATCAATATTTGTGATGTAACCTTGCATCCCTACACTGGTTGGCAGCAACTAGGAAAAAAGGTAACACGTTGGCCGAACCCCTGAGCCACAGACCTAATCACAGTTTAAGCGTCAGCAATTTCAGACCGAGCGCAGCTGCAAACAACTCTGCTCAAAACTGCTTATGCAAGAACTTCCTAACTAATTTCAGTGCTAATGGATTGGAGTAACAAAGAGCTACTATTTGCAGCGTTTAAATAATCTGCCTCATTCTGATGGAAATTAATTAGGACAGAACTCCCCAAACGGCGGGCCTGCAGGCCCGGTGAGTGAGGTGCTGACCAGGCCCTGGCCGGAGCTAACTGAGCAGGGTGCGCGAAACCCCTGCATGCCACCATGCCCGAAACTGCAGGACGTGGCAGGTGGCAGCGCGAGAAGCTGCCGAGGGTGCTGGGAGGGACGGCTGC